TTCTGAATAAATGTTTGTAAAAAATGTTTGGGTAACAGTGGAACTTATTTTAATTAAAATAAACTACAATTAATGTAACTACAAAGAGTCCACAAGCAATTTAAAAAAGAAAAATTAACGATACCTTCAAGCAAGAAATCCTAAACAAATGTTTGAGAACTATTGTCACATAATCTCGCAAAATCCACTCATTAAGCCTTCAATTATTTCTTATCTATTCCTATGTGGGTTCATGAGAGGAGATTTTCAAAACTGAAAGGTACGGAAAGCGCACTTTTGAATTTGCTGGCCCAACAATTTGGAAAGCCCTTCCAGTCGCTCTCAAAAACAGCCGGACACTGGAGTCCTTTAAAACCGATTTAAAAACACATCTATTTCGCAAACACCTTCTGGGGTGATGCTATCTACCATCTTTTTCCATTTAATGTATATTGGCTTGTGTTGCTTATGGTTGAAATGGGATGAAAGACTTTGATTTGGTTTGCTCGTATGTAGTTTTATATTGTTGCGTCTGTTTTTAAATGGGGTACATTTTAGATTGTTTTTATTTCTCTTTTTAATATGGTTGACTTTGTACCGTGCTTCGAGCTTTTGGGGATGAAGCGTGTTTTTCAAATAAACTTTAGTATTATTATTATCTCTTATATGTTTCTCTACGCCTTTTCTTAGTTTGCTCTGTCCGTTTGTTTGTCAGTTTGTGGTAGAATCTTGTATCTCAATTTCGACCTGCCCTGAAATTGAGCTGAAACTTTGTACACTTACCCACTCCCGATGACAATACAACATTTCATGACCTTTAGTTCACCAGTGACCTCCGCTGACCTTTGAGTGACCCCTGCGGTTCAAATTGTTCATCTCAATTTTAAAAAACACTTCTTGATTTCCAGATGAGATCACGCTTGAATTTGAATTTAAATTTAATACGATTGTGACCTACCTCAAAGCATTGACTCACGATCAACCTCGTAAAGCATTTATTCACCACCAACCTTGTAAAGCATTTACTCACTCACCACCAACCTCGTAAAGCATTTACTCACCACCAACCTTGTAAAGCATTTACTCACCACCAACCTTGTAAAGCATTTACTCACCACCAACCTTGTAAAGCATTTACTCACCACCAACCTTGTAAAGCATTTACTCACCACCAACCTTGTAAAGCATTTACTCACCACCAACCTTGTAAAGCATTTACTCACCACCAACCTTGTAAAGCATTTACTCACCACCAACCTTGTAAAGCATTTACTCACCACCAACCTTGTAAAGCATTTACTCACCATCAACCTTGTAACTAGTATCAAGATAGCTTCCCACAAGAGAATGGAATATGGATTTTGTGTTCATTGTTTATAATTTGATAAAGGTCTGCATGAGACAGAATTAGCTCTTCTGTGAGCCTATACGGTTGTTTGTGGGCCTATAAGGCTGTCTGTGGGCCTACGGTTGTCTGTGGGCCTATACGGTTGTCTGTTGGCCTATACGGTTGTCTGTTGGCCTATACGGTTGTCTGTGGGCCTATACGGTTGTCTGTTGGCCTATACGGTTGTCTGTTAGCCTATACGGTTGTCTGTTGGCCTATACGGTTGTCTGTTAGCCTATACGGTTGTCTGTGGTCTATACGGTTGTCTGTGGGCGTACGGTTGCATGTGGGCCTGTACGGTTGTCTATGGGTGCATACGATTGTCTGTGCGCCCATACGATTGTCTGTGGGCATATACGGTTGTCTGTGGGCCTACGGTTTTGCTTAACTAATGCAAACAATTGAAAGTGTAAATGTTAAAAGTCATGTTTGTTAAGGTGGATTTGCTTCTTGTTTAATTTAATTTTTTTTAAAATATTATTTAGTTTTAAAATCTTCAAATAAAATGCACATATTTTGCTCAAGTTCTATTTAAAAAATCAGAAGTACTTAATAATATTTCTGATTTTTAAAATAGTTTTTCGGACTTTATGAAAATAACCTAACACACTGGGCCAAACAATGTATCATTCATCATAAACGCAAATTGCAATTCTTGTTTTCTGTAGACGATCCTTAGATTTAACGCCGGGACGTCATTTGATTTTTTTTTTTCAGTGGGGTAGGGGCTAAACCAAAACTTGTCCGACTTGTTCGGTTGTTTTATTACTATGGTCGCCACAGTACATTTCAATTTAAATAAGACTTGCCAAATTATGATTGATGTTTTCTTTTGTTATTTTTAAATGATCTAATATTTCTTTTTTTTCCCCATACTTATTTTCTGCTACGATTGATTTTCTGCTGTCCTAGATACTGATATCTAATGAAACAAATCTGACAAATTCAGGTGGGTATTGCAAATGCGCCTCCACGGTCTACCCTAATGACGTCTCATGGATTGAAGCCTGGTATATCACCGACTAATCATAGTGTCAATAGTTTTAAAAAATATATTAATTAAATCAGGGGTGACAAATCCAGATGTATTACACTCATCGCGGGCGTTAAACTTATCAGATAAAATAAACAACATTTAATTTTAATATGAATCAAATCTTCTTTTAGTATATATGGCATCCTTCCGTCTTCCTGTTTGTTGCAAGGGACTTCGTTTCGCGCATCTTCTGCCTTTTTGACTGCTTCATACACTGCGTTCGCCAACTGGAACGTTGCTCAGCGATGATCTCCCATTCGATGATTCCTATGTTGGCTTCCCTCATGCTCCTTTTGCAAACGTCCATACATCTCAAGCGTGGCCATCCAATAAGTCTTGTCCCCTCTGCCAACTCTCCCCACTGCAGCATCTTTGGGATACGGCCTTCCTCCATTCTCCTTATTCCATGACCTAACCAACGAAGGCGCCTCTTGCAAAGAGCGGAGAATATGCTACCCATTTTTGCAACCTCTGTGTTAGGGATCCCTCGAATGCTCAAAATGCGACACACACACATCTCTGGTGGAATCTGTTAATAACGCACGTATTATTAACATCCAAAAATATGTATAATATTAATGTGAGCACTGCCGATATTTCGATTCTCTTTTAGTTCTCGTAACAAATCTGACAAACTGTAAATTGTGTTATTTGCAATGGGAAAATACGATGTTGTGCCAAATAAACCCTTGCACCTCTCTCGTTTGTTGACAAGAGTTGTTCTAGTTCCAGGGGGTTTTGTGTGTTGAGCAAGTGATCGGTGCGGGGCATTTGCCACGGACATCGCGATTTTAAGTTTCACTCACAGATTTCACTGTGCTTCGAAAAAAAAATCTCTTTTTACGACCTTGGACTTACTGCAGTCATGGGCGCCCGCAGAAAACTTTCTAGGGGGGGGGGGGGCAAAAAAAATCGATTAACTTTCCAGGGGGGGGGGGCAAAAATTTTTTTTAATGTAGTTTTAATTTACTGTAGCGTATTTGTATGGTGAACGAACGGACAGGACATCAGCTTAGTTACTTTCTCTTTATTTTCTCTTTACTTTAATACATTTTTTGTCTATTTTGTTCTAAATTTTTTTATCCAATCAATCCAGGGGGGGGGCAAGTGCCCCCCTTGCCCCCCCCCCCACCTTCGGGCGCCCATGTGCACCGTTATTTATTTATTATTTTTATTATTTTTTTTTTTTTTTTTTTTTTTTTTTTTTTTTTTTTTTTGGGGGGGGGGGGGGTTCTTGGGTCTAGGGTTTTCACTCAAAATTAATAATACAAATAATTTAAAACAAAAACATCTAAAAATCAACAATTGTTTATGATAAAGCAATTTTGTTAAACAAATAGATTCTAAAAATAAACTTGAACCTATGAATCAATTTAAGTTTTTTTCCCCTCAATTATATGTATCAAATTCAAATGTTTCAATTGTTTCTATGAGACAACCCATGCCCATATCAAATATGAAAAGATAAGCAAAACCTAGTCTAGTATTCAACATCTTCCTAGAGAGAATTACGTCAGATGCTCTGGAAGCACATGAAGGGACAGTCAGCATTGGTGGCAGAAAAATCACCAAACTACGCTTTGCGGACGACATAGACGGACTGGCTGGGAACGAAGAAGAGCTAGCGCCAACCTGGTTAAGCGTCTCGATGAGACCTCGTCGTCCTACGGCATGTTAATCAGTGCCGAAAAGACAAAATTGATTACAAATAAAACCGCAGGCATCACCACTGAAATTAAGGTCGGGGAGGAAATATTAGAGACTGTCGGCCGCTTCAAATACCTAGGAGCTATAGTCTCAGAAGGAGGCTCCAAGCCCTAACTAATGTCCAGGATTGCGCAGACTAAAACAGCACTAAAGAAGCTCAAGAAAATATGGAATGACAAAAATATAGCCCCCAGCACCAAAATCAGGCTGATACCCTCAGTAGTCCTCTCCATTTTCTCTATGCCTGCGAGTCCTGGACATTAACAGCCGATCTTGAAAGGAAAATAAAGGCGATGGAGATGAGATGCTGCAGAAGCATTTTTGGCATCTGCTATAGGGACCATATCTCCAATGATACAGTGAAAGAAAGGGTTCTTCAGGCACTTGGTGAGTACGTTGACCTACTGGTGACTGTGAAAAAACGCAAACTACAATGGTACGGCCATGAAACAAGGAAACAAGGGCTTGCCAAAGAAATATTGCAGGGCACCACAAGAGGAGGGAGAAGAAGAGGAAAAAGAAGAGGAAGACAAAGAAAAATATGGGAGGATAACATTAAAGAGTGGACAGGACTAACAATGGGCGATGCAGTGCGTAGTGCCGAAGACAGAGACGAATGGAGGAGGATGGTTCACATGTCATCTGTGGCGCCCTAACGGTCCAAGAACTAAGAGACATGGTCATGATGATGATGAGTCTAGTATGGAACCCATGCCAAATATTTCCCCGGACTCCCAATACTCTAGCTACGCCTCTGCCACAAATTAAAAAAAAATAAATAAATAAATTAATAATAATAAAAAAATGATATGCATCGAAGTAAAATGGGAAATAATTCAGTACCTGTGTACCTTTGCCCCGGAAGAAAAAGTATTTTCTTACACCAAAGAGCGGCAACTCTCGACGTCTGCAATTAAATTTTCTGTGTTTTTAGGAGGTTGGTACAGACATGTAAATGATAGTAAATGCAATGCAATTTACTTTACATGCAATTTCATTGCTTGAGGATTCGGATATTAAGTTTACGAATATTTTTGTTTTAAGATAAATGGTTGACCTGTATATCTGTTGCTGTAAAAGAAGTAAAATGGCATGTTCTGGTAACCACAAGCCAAGTAAACAGGCTCGGGCAAAGTTAGATTCATTTGTTGTGGCGTTAACCAAAAAAGGTATCAAACTCTTGGCACTCGATTTTGACAAGACTATTATTGACATACACTCAGGAGGCATGTGGAATGAAGGCGTTGACAAGCTTGCATCTCATGTCAGACCTTGTATGAGGGATTTGATGGAAGTTGCATCACATAAAGGCCTTTTTGTAGCAATTGTTACATTTCACAGACAGGAATGGATTATAAAAGAAGTGCTCTTGAAAGTTCTGCCAAAAAAGTAAGATCTTGGTTATTACTATAAGTATAATTCAGTTTGAGGATTTAAAATATTTTTTATTTAGGCTATCCAGGCCATGGCGTTTCCCAGGGCCAGCACCTTGGCTGCCATGACCCATCATTAACCAACCAATGAAATTTTAAATTAAAACATTCCATCTTCGAATTAAGAAAAAGTTAACTCTTGTAACAACAAAAAGAATAACAAAAGGGAGAGAATCCTACACAGATACACATCATGGTGCGGATTGTGGAAATTGACCAAATTATTCTATAGTTAGTGTCTATGTCTATATGGCTTTAATAGATACTAACAGTGTATAGATTTAATGATTGAATGTCAAACTTTAAATGCCTATGAGTTACAATAATACTATAAGCGTTATTATAGCATGTGTGGGCAACCTGTGGCTAGCTACTTTGATATTCGTTTGTGCACCAATCTCCGCAGACAGAAAAATGATGCAAAAACTTTTTTCATTTTCAAGATATCGGTCTGGCTATGCGTTGATTTCGGAAAATTTTATACATTTTAAAATTTGTCTAATTAAAAATTGCTTTCCTCATCAGTGATGCAGTATACATTTTTTGTGTTCTGGTGATTTTAAGGAATTTATGCCGTGAGGTTTTTTGTGTCATGGACAGGATTGTCATAACGGATTCGGTAAGCATAGTCATAGATCACATAGTGCCTATATACGTTTTGTTAGTTATTCCTTTAAAAAAAAGTTTTAGTTCCAGGAAATTTCATCCATTTTGGAGTTTAAACACATTTAAGTTATTATAATTGACAAATTCAAATAAAAGTTGTGCACTCTTTTAAGGAATTGACTCTTATCGCTGTCAGTTATGAGGTGTTTCCTTATTGTTGAATCCCCAAAAATTCAAAGAAGTTTAAAATGAATAGTTCTACAAAATTTAAGAAAAGATTATAACCAAACTAGAGCAGTTTTTCGTAGAGACTAAGGGTTGCTATTTTACTATTTAGGTATAAAAAATTGTGTGTACCTATTTTATCCATTCTTCATTAGTGAATCATTAATTAATAGTTTAATAATAGTAATAGCAATAATAATAATTGTTATTATCTCATTAATGACTACTCAAATGGAGAATGTTACTAAAATTAGGCCTACTGGTACATATAAGTTATAACAATCAATAACAGTTATAAAATCCTAAGCCTACTAAACTAATACTAATATTATTCTCTTACTACACCTGCACTTTCAGGCCTAATTAAAGTTATTATTTTTAAATTTCATAAGGCATTTAATTATAAATTTTAATTTCTTGTTAAGTAAATGTAATATTCTAATACATGGCTTACTTACTGTGTCTTCACTTTTAGTCTTAGACTTAGACTTTGAGTCTAGTGCTATCATATAGGCATAGGCTCTCTGCTAAATTATATAATTATGATCAAAATAATTGTAAAATCATTTACATAACAGTCTTTGAGGTAGTATGTAAATTAGCCTATAAAATGTTTAATGAAAGACTTCAAATAAATGAAAAAACTCACCATTGTCATACTAATTATATTTTTATTAGGAAATAGAAAAACATTTTACATAGACAAATATTTAATGTTTCAAATAACATAAAAAAAAGAAATGATTTTTAATAAAGAAACATTTTTAATATTAAAATAAACTAAGGATTGTGCAGCTTCAGGATTATGATTAGATGTTATTTCTAGGCTTCTTTCAGGTACAAGACAATATTTTCTATTGCAGAACTTGGTGGAATGAGGCACATTTAGACATAGATGGCAAAGCAAAATTTATGAAAGCATAAGAAAGCAGTCTACCAAGAATATGACAGGTAGAACATACTCATAACTCAAAACACATTATACCTGAGGTAGGCTCATATAAGTCTTATGGGTAATTTTAGTTATTTATATTTACAATTTCATGCATTCAAATTTTTTTATTTAAATTTCTAGAAATATAAGAATTGATTTAAATTGTAACTGAAACATATTATCAATTAAAATATATTGAACATGTAATGTTTTTGTTTTGGCCTTTATATCTGGTAATTTTTTTTTTCAATTTTTCTGTTCATGATTTTTTTAACATACCCTTAAATAAAATTATCCAAAATACAAAGTCTTATTATGTAAAAGTTTTCTTGTTCATTGTGTTATTTATAGCATTGAGAATGTCTCCTGAGAATTTAGTAACATTTTAAAAAAAATACAAGTATTTGTGGGAAAAATAAGGCAGAAATGTGGAAAGTTGGTCACTAGTTTTTATCATTAAGTAAAAAAATAAATAAAAGGCTTTAAAAGTTTTAAAAAGTAACAATCATAACTCCATTTCTATAAAAGCTAGAAAGATGAAATTGGTGTTTTTGCAAAGCTTATAGCTAGCTCTTTAAAATGATTTAATAGGACAATAATTTAAATTTCTGTCAAAGTATCTACTATGGTCTACAGACTACTTGTGGCTTGTTAAAACATTTGGGGAAGATCTTCTGGGAACTGGATCAATGTTTTCTTAAAATGTACAAACTATGAATAATTATTTATAAAACCCTTTAAGAATTAATCATCATAGTGTTATATGTAAAATGGTCCATCTGTTTTAATAATTATGATGGAAACAGACCTGTTTACTCTAATGATTTTGGCATACAATGTACGATTTTTAGATGTCTTTTACGATTGTACGACAAGACCCGCCAAAACTACGATTTTCAGAAAAGTATTTGGGTAATTTTCTGATTTTAAAAAAAATTAAATAATTTTGTTTGTTGGAGTTTGAGTCCTTTCTTATTAAGATCTGGCAGCGAATGGACCGAGAAAAACGATTGGTTGTAATTTCTTTTTTAAAAGTTGGAACCATCCTTCTTATATTATGACTTGGTCATAGCACAGAAACAGCACTGGTCCGAGTCATGAGCGACCTCCTGCGCGCGATGGACGATGGCAAACTCTCTATTCTCACTCTTTTAGATCTCTCTGCTGCATTTGATACCATTGACCACCAGATTCTTCTTGACCGCCTTCATCTTTCTTTCAGACTTACTGGCTCAGCTTTAAACTGGTTTCAATCATATCTTTCCGACAGAACTCAAACAGTATCTATTTCCAACCGCTCTTCCAAACCTTCAGCCCTGTCTATTGGAGTTCCTCAAGGATCGGTCCTTGGGCCGGTCCTTTTCATCCTCTACACTAAACCTCTATCATCTCTCATTAGCCACCACTCAGTTTCCAGTCAATCCTTTGCTGATGACACTCAAATCAGTGACTCTTGCTTTCCTGATCAACTTGATGCCACAATCCTTCGCATACAGGAGTGCGTGGACGATGTAAAGCGTTGGATGACTTGCAACAAACTGAAGCTAAATGATGATAAAACGGAAATCCTTCTCATCCACTCTCAAAACAAACCTCTCCCTCCATCCGCTCCTTCTTCTATATCTATTGGCAACTCTGACATCACACTCTCTTCCTCTGCCAGAAACCTTGGAGTCACGCTTACAGACACCCTCTCCATGGACAAACATGTCACGAATATATGCAGATCAGCATATAACGAAATTAGAAAAATCAGCACCATTAGACACCTCCTCTCCTTTGATGCCACAAAAACTCTCGTCTCTTCACTCATTCTTTCAAAATTTGACTACTGTAACACTCTTCTCGCAGGCATTCCTCAACACCACATAGACAAACTTCAGAAGGCACAGAACTCAGCATGCAGACTCATTTTTAAATCAAAGAAACATGACCACATTCAACCACACATGCGGCAACTCCACTGGCTTCCAATATCCTCTCGCATCAAGTACAAGTCTGCCAATCTATGCTTCAACTCGTTCACTGACCCTCACTTTCCTGTCTATCTCTCTGAACTGTTGCTTCCTTACATCATCCCCACAAGACAACTACGTTCTTCCATTGACAGTAGAACCCTCTCAATCCCAAGAACCAAAACTAAGACCATCGGTGAACGCTCCTTCTACTTTCATGGGCCCCCGTTCTGGAACCAGCTCCCCTTCCATATCCGTCATTGTGAAACCTCGTCCACTTTTAAAAAGTCCCTTAAAACCCATCTGTTTAGGTCCGCCTATGACCTGTGATGCACCCCCCTTGCCCTGCCTCATTTTCTGTCTCGGGTTAATCCTGTAATATAGGCCAAAACGTGCCAAAGTGTCCTTGTTTTATAGCCATTTTAATTGTTTCTATAGTATAGTAGTTACTATCCTAATGTCTCATTTTTATTTTAGTTAGTTTACATGTTTTTAATAATTGTAAAGCGCTTAGAGCTTTAAGGTAAGAGAGGTGAGGTAGGGGTTTTTGAATAAGGAGAATGCTTGGGTAAGGGGATTTGTGGGGATGTCAAAGTCTATAAAAATAACAACGTATCTATTGAGCTGGCTGCGTCAACTGTAATATTTAGACTAGTCGCCCTAGCGGCAACTTCACGCCCCCCCTCATCTTCTTTGACTGCATCTAAGAATGTAAAGCAGTTTTGTTACATAATTATTCTGTTTGTCTGAACTGGCTGAGTGGCATCAAAAATTATTCCACTGCTTTATTTTGAACTGAATTTAGAGTGAGTTTTCAAAGCCCTTATTCAACTATGTGTATTAAAAACAAGAATAGATTCCAAAAAAAAATATGTTTACAATCAGTATCATGTGACAAGCTCAACCAAAATTCATTTCCATGTGGCTCTCTGCACATAAAAAGCTGCCCACACATTAATAATATATATGCTAAATATTTTATAATAAAGAAAATGCTTTGGCTCACAGGCACGTGCAATAAAATACTCATAATCTGCTGACTTGCATATTGCAATGGAAAAAAAGTACATCACAATTTAGCTGATTGTTCTATTTTTCAGGGTGGCAAAAAAGATATACATCCAAGCAAATACAATTGATTTCATGCAAAAACAGCGGACGTCCAGTGTGGGTACCAGCGAACCTTGTAATGCAGCTGTAAGCACCTCTGCAACTTCACCTTCTACAGTAGTTAGAGTTTTCATGCCAGAACTCAATGGTAAGCAAGCGCACATTGAAGCTGTCATTGCTGCCATCCATCGTGATTACAACGTCACCCTAAAAAAGAATGAAATTATTCTCATGGATGATGATATTAATAACGTCCGCATAGCCAGCTGCCATGGCCATTATGCATTTCAAGTTCAGCAAAATGTGGACTACAACTCATTTGAAAGTTTTGAGACTATGCTTCTTTTGTGACTTTACACATCCCATTTTTTCTCACAATTGCTTTTTTTGGAAGAATGCACTGTATTAGAATTTACCCTACCTCTTATAATTGGATTATCCAACTGACTCATATCAGTGCACAATAATATGGGGCAAATTGCAATCAAGTTGTGAAATAATAAAAAAATAAAGCACATGATAGGTTAAAACTTGAGAAAAGACCCAAGGGCACTACAAAACAGCCAAAATATTTTTCAGCAAAACAAGAAGAAAAAAAAAGCGAGGAAGAAAATAAAAGTTAAGTTATAGCTAGTAGGAATCCACTGGCACTTAGTAATTGAGACAAATTACGTTTGTGCTGTTATCAAATTTCACCAACCCTGTGCTTCATGTTTTAATATTAAAGTGTTTATTATTTTTGAAAAAATAAATAATACAAGACCACGTTTAGTAATTAAATTTAACAAGGAATTAAGTGCTAATCTTTTGTCTTTTCCTTTTTATGCTTTGAAAAAGATCTTCAGAACAGTATTTTGTAAATGACATTTTCTTCTTTTTTCTAATTTAAAATTATTCCTACAGGAACTTGTTTTCTTTCTATTCTTCTGTTTAAAAAATGTTCTTTTAAATCTTATGAATTTCTGATTTCATGAAAAGTTGTATGCTATTCATAATTTAATGTCTTTTTTTGGTTTAATTTTCCAATAAGGTATTTCGCAGCTGTTATTTATACACCAATAAGGATTTTTCCTTCTAATCCATTGCTAAGATTTCTTCAGTAATTATAATTTATTTGAAGTAAATGCAATTCCAGTTCCAGCCTTGGAACTATGCATAAAACCTGTTAGGATATTTCATTATAATTTATAATTGCTTTGAAGGCAAGTACGGGAATAAGAGAAGGACATGTTCTTAAGAGCTTTCACATACAAAGGATTAGTCCCTGTTCAATTTTATCCAGTGTGAGGATCAAAAGAATTGGACAAAGACATACATAAAAACCATCACACTATATTATGATGATATGCAAGTCTTGTATTTATTTGTATAACAATTGTTATCTTTTTGCGCATGTCTGGGAGAAATGTAAATGTTATATTTTTGGACCGTAGAGGAGAATTTTTTATTACATGTTGTTTTGTACCGGGTATGTGTTGTGAAGAGTCTGACTAGTAACAAGATAATTAGGGTCTGTGTAACTCGTATGACTGAATAATTTTGTAAAATAAAAACAAAATCAATTCCGTGTAGCTAACTTAAAAAAGCCAATAGTATATCATTAGATATCGCTACTGTAATGAGCAGGTTTAGAATATGTGAAGCTCTAGCATATTGTACTTACAATGACAGTACGGTAAATATTTTAAATGGCACTAATGAAATAGCTGTAGAAGAAACGACAAAATGTTTCACCAATGCTTATTACATCCATATTCCAGATTTGAGAGGATGCTCATTGTGAAACCTTAACATTGTTTTTATCTAAAATATCCATTAACCAGTTTTGAAATGCTTCTTATTGTGAAATTTTTATTGTGTTTATTCTTATTCATCCCATCTCCCAGTGTTGAGATTGTACACATGTGAAATTTAACCATATTTATTATCTATCTTGTACAATGGTCATGTTTCATGTGTCATCATGACATAAAGTAATGATGATTGGCCCGGTCTCAGTTCCTTGAGTGCATTGCTGTGGGACAGAGAATGACAAACCTAATGACTAGTATTTAAATTATGCTTTAATTTTGTTTCGTGAAGATCATTTTGGTCTATATTCCTTTAAAGAAGTGGTTCTAAAAATGAAAGCTGCACTTTATATAAAATAACATACATCATGTTAAAAGTTGTTTAATCCTTGAGTGATAACTTCAGATTTTATCTGTCTTTTACTCTTACTTTTACCCCTTTTGCCTCTGCTATTCCTTTCTTTCTTATCATTATGCACCACTACACTTATCTTGAAATTGATTGCTGAAAGGGTTTATAAACTTTGCACCAGTGAATGTACCATTTGTATATTAATTTAAAAAATATTGTTTTTTGCTCCATTTAATTGTTCAGGCTTTAGGGGGACATTGTTGTTGTCCAGTCTTGTTAAAATTGTTGGCATAGATGAATGACCTCTGATCATTAGACCAGAGCTCAGCAAACGGTGTGTTATGAGATAATGCTAGGTTTGCAGTGAAATATGCCTCCAAGAGGAGGAAAATCAAGGAGGAATTTGGAGGCACTTACATATGATAAAACTGTTAAAATAAAGGGACACTGGGTAGCTTACCAAACTTTTAAACACTGCTGCCATGGAAATGTGTCCCAATCTGGCAGTTACGATAGAGCAGAGTGTAGTCTGATACATTTTAGCTTTACCGGCTATTATGAATGTTAAACATATTCTGTTATTAGTATAAAAGTTCTTCTGTCCCATCTAACTTTCAGGGTGTGTAGTGTTTTAAAAAATGTTGCTGGACTCTGAATGATACCATGGTCATCAGTCCATTCTTGTTTTAATTGTAAACATAGACTACTAAATCCTTAGTATTCTCATGACAGAGGTTGCTGAACTCTGAATGATACCATGGTCATCAGTCCATTCTTGTTTTAATTGTAAACATAGACTACTAAATCCTTAGTATTCTCATGACAGAGGTTGCTGAACTCTGAATGATACCATGGTCATCAGTCCATTCTTGTTTTAATTGTAAACATAGACTACTAAATCCTTAGTATTCTCATGACAGAGGTTGCTGAACTCTGAATGATACCATGGTCATCAGTCCATTCTTGTTTTAATTGTAAACATAGACTACTAAATCCTAGTATTCTCATGACAGAAACTAAATAATAATTTTAGCTGTTACTGTTGTAGGAGAATGAAATGTGGTGATTTGAACTTAAGAATTAAAAAAAAAAGTTGTGAAACGCTCTTCAATCATGACAGATATTTAGCCTGATTTTGAGAGCACCATATGCTGCTTTCATGAAGTTGTATCTTGAGTTGTGAATACCAACTTGTACTTGCATTTAGATTAATTTAGATGTGTCTTGAGTTGTGAATACCAACTTGTACTTGCATTGAGATTAATTTAGATGTGTCTTGAGTTGTGAATACCAACTTGTACTTGCATTGAGATTAATTTAGATGTGTCTTGAGTTGTGATTACCAACTTTTATTTTTAAAAAATTGTTTTTTATGTTGCTTGTTGGGTACCCTGTTGTATTTTCATATAGTTGTGTCTAAAGCTGTGACTATCATTTGGTGCTTTCATATAAAGTTGTGAGTGCCAAATTTTACTTTCAGAAAATTGTCTTCTGAAGTTGTTAATAGCATAGGTAAAGTACTTTCATAAAGTCTTGAGTACCGGTACCATATTTTACTTTCATATAGTTTATTGTTTAAAGAAGTGACATAGGACTTAGTGAGTTGTCAGAAGTGAATCTTATGAACATTTACATACATAACATAATGTGATACTTGGTTGTTTGATCTGTGCTGCTCTTGTCTCTCCCTCTCTCTCTCTAAGCAAAGTTTGTGCAACTGTGAGCTTGGCTACCTGTGATTACATAGCAACTGAATGTAATGCAGCTTACTGTGTTTTGATTTCAACCAGGGTCATGCAACTTACTTTTTCTTCCTTTCATTTGCTCCCCGCCCCTCCCACCCACCCACCCGTTTCTCAAATTACATTTACTTCCCCTTGTCAGTCTTCCACCCTGCACACAAAAAAGGCAATTTTTCCTCATGCAATTGTTTCACGTACCCGGTTTATGTTATTTTCTTCTGACTTCTTCTGCTGGAAAATATTATATTAAGAGCCATGGACCCACATCTTAAAAATTTCAGGACCTTAGTGTTAAAAGTCCTTGGAAACCAATGTTAAATATCCCTGGACTCTACTTTTTATATCCCCTTAGAAAAAATACATTTGCTTTTGAGATTCATTCTTTACATATTTAAACATAAAACAGTGGTTGTAAACTTAAACTACATTAACAAAGATAAAAAGTTAGGAAGAGGGGTGGGTGATGAGGGAGGGGAGGTTGCTAGATCAAAAGGTGGTTAATCTCAAAAAGTAAAATTTTTATAATTAATTATTTTATGAAATATAGTGTTAGTCCTTATTTTTTTCCGCGGGGGTGGGGGGGGGGGGGGGTGTTTAAATAAATATGAGGAACATAAAATTAGGAAGTAAAGGAAGCCTTTGTCTAACTTAGTTAATGAATTCTCAAAAAGTAAAATTTTTATAATTAATTATTTTATGAAATATAGTGTTAGTCCTTATTTTTTTCCGCGGGGGTGGGGGGGGGGTGGTGTTTAAATAAATATGAGGAACATAAAATTAGGAAGTAAAGGAAGCCTTTGTCTAACTTAGTTAATGAAAGAATTTGTGCTACAGAGTTGTATTATTATTACAGTTACAGAGTAAAGTTGGTCAAAATGAATCCTGGTAGTTTGTTATGAGATAATTTTTTTTTGCAATTTCTGTTAGTCTTCTGTGGAATAAGATGACCATTAAGATTTATTATTCTATTACTATATTATTATTATCATCATCATCAACACTATAATTATTATTGTCTTGTGCTCTGAGATATATTACTGCCCTTAAAGGGTAAGGGCTCAGCAGGTCATGCTATGGGTTAAAAAATGGAACGCTTTTAAGATTTTGTACACTAACCTTATGGCATGACAGATTATGTGTGAAACAAGTTTTTTTAATTATTTCTTAAAAAATGGTACAGGAACCATTTCGAGGAAACAAACCTAATTGATAACCGCCTTCATGTCATTACTTTTGCCTGTCATTTGTTCCATTGCGGTATCATTAAAAACATCGAAGTACATGGAATGCCAAGACAGCCCTGCCTCTGACATCAGTTATTTGCAACTGAGAAAAGTACCACAACTGAATGTAATCTGAGAGGTTGATGGGGCTGTTGTTAAACTGTTTCATGTCAATTTATGGAAAGTATCCACATTATATTCATGATTTTCAAGGCATAAAGTGTTTTAATGTTCAGCCACTTGAATTGTTACTGGGATTTCAAAGCTTTAAAGGTTGGTGTTATTAAAATTGGCTTGACCATCAACACTGAACCCCCTGGGCTTAGTTGCCACGGTAATGGTGTCAATTAACTTGACCATGTGGACTTCCGGGCTCTATAGGTTCAGTCTGCTCTCTCATCCCTGGCTTAGTTTTGTCTCAACGTTGGCTGCAACAGTGTTGTTGCTTTTGGCCGGCCACTCAATATTTTCACCACATTCACATCGATAATTTAATCACTCCCCCAATAATGATGCTTCATTTTGCTGTTGAAAATGATGAATTTGTTCAACATACAAGTTAACCAAACTACTTAGAAGGTTAGTAAACATCTGATGCTCAGAGTTTCAACTCGGCATTGTAGAAATGTCAGACTGCTTATTTACCTGGGCATTACCTTGTCGTGGGGGAGAAGTTTGCTGATCAGATGTTGACATTCTCCTTTGGTCTTGTTCAAAGGTAAAAAACTAAGGAAACTAATTATGTCAACAAACTC